TTATTATGACCACCTGATGTTTGTAGGCAAATTAGCTATAATTTCCTGCTGAAGTTGCTAGAGGACCAGACCATTATAAATAGGGACGCAGGTTGTTTACCACGACAGTAGAAGTTATTTTTTTTTTCTGAAGATATGGGTAAACAATGTGATTTAACAGCCTTTGAACATGGGATATATATTATTATGAGTGGACAGATTATTATGAACACCTGACGTTTGTAGGCAACTTAGCTGTCCATCGTATGGGATATGGAAGCTGAAGGCCTATTTGAACACCTTTGCTGTCTGCAGTTACCAAGATAAAACGTCTCCAATCGCAGGAACACAGGATAGGACAGTCGAGCATTGGAAAAAAGTCATGTGGTCTGATGAATCACATTTCCAGTTGCATCATGCAGATGGCAGAGTGAGAATCTGGTGGAAACAGCATGAAAGCATGCACATCACATGCATGAGTACAACCCTTCAAGCTGGTAGGGCAGTGTTATGATTTGGGGCATGTTTTCCTGGCATGATTTGGGCTCTTTAATTCATGTAGAACAACGTCTGAACAACACAACATACCTAAGTATAGTTGCTGATCAACTTCATCCTATCATGTTGATCGCGTATCCCGATGGAGATGGCTTCTTCCAACAAGACAATGCGCCATGCCACGGTGCTCATATTGTGCAGGAGTGGTTTCAGGAACATGAGGGAGACTTTACCTTGCTTAGGTGGCCCCCACAATCACCAGATCTCAATCCAATGGAGCATTTGTGGGATGAAGTTAAAAGAGCCCTCAGGCAGCTGGTTCCACAACCACCAAATCTCACAGAACTGGGCAGTGCTATTCATCAGGCATGGTGTCAGATTCCTCGAATCACCTTTCAGCATCTCATGGAGTCAATGCCAAGAAGAATCACTGCACTATTGAAGGCAAAAGGTGGCCCAACGAAGTACAGATGGGGTGGTCATAATAATCTGGCCACTCATAATAATATATATCCCATGTTCAAAGGCTGTTAAATCGTATTATTTACCCATATCTCCAGAAAAAAATTCACTTCTACTGTTGTGGTAAACAACCTGCTTCCCTATTTATAATGGTCTGGCCCTCTAGCAACTTCAGCGTGAAATTCTAACTAATTTGCCTACAAATGTCACAGTTGTAGCATGTAGTCTGGAAAAATATGTATCTGGATCTCTAAGCCTTTTCTACGAACTCTAAAGTTCAGTTTAGAAGTCTTGTACAATCATCTCACACTTCAGTAACAAAATGAACTTCATACTGCAACCCCCAGTTATAATTATATCTTATTACAGAAATGACTTGTTTTTGGAATAAGGTATGTTGAGTAAGAGCCATTATTCCATTAAGAGCCTTTCAATTTTTTTCCACAGAGCCATTAATTTAAAATATTTTAATTGGGAAATATGGTAAATATGTTGTTTTGTAAGTCCAACATTTTTTTCATTAGTGGAAAATGGCACAGATCACCTGATAATTCCATGAAGGCGGGTAGGATTGGGGAGTCCACCTTCCCCTGCACAATGCCACCACCCCTATAGCTGAGCACCGAACATAAACTAGCCAACCAGACTTTTGCCAGAGACATTGGAAAGACTTTCTCTTTTTGAGGCAAGTGCCAGCTAAAGGGATGAAGTGGGTTTGAGGCTGCCAATTACAATATTTTTACCAAATGTAAAATTTATCTGGAAGTGAAACCCAGCAAGGCTAAGAGGGCGACAGCATAAGTACTAATACTTGAACCTCCAGATCAAATCATAGTTCTTGAGCTTTCCATATTCAAGTAAAAAATAATTTCCTTATTTTGCTTAAGCTAGCTTTATTTGGGTTTCTGCCACTTACCATTTAATAAGTAGTAATGCAAAACTCTTCCTAAAATATTTTATTTCTTTGAACTTCTTAAATTGAGACTACTGAATGTAGTCTATTACCTGTATAACCTATCACAGCTTCCAATCTATTACTCTCAACTGTAAAATGAGAGTAGTAATAAATATCTATTTTAGAAAAAATATGAGAATTTAATATGCTAAAGTACATATATAAAAACACCAACTCCATGCCTGGCATTTAACATTTATCACTTCTCTCCACCTTTTCTTGATTACCTGTCCAAAAGATTAAAAAATGATAATTTGAGCACTTTTGGTTCTAGTGTTTTTCATGTATCAACTCATTTAATGTATTCAACCACCATAATGTAGGTACTGCCATTAGCTCCGTCTTATAGACGGGGAAGGGAGGTACAGAGAGGTTTTGTGACTGATCCAAATTGTGGGAGAGTTGGGATACAAACTGTTACATTATATAATCATAAACTCTTGTGTTTTCTGGATTTCATCACTTTTTGCTGGAAGGCAGTTAACTCTCTCCCCTCCTTATGTCACTGAAGTAGTCTTCAGAAAATCTTTCCAAAATCTTCTGTAGATCAGGACACAAGCTCATCAATTTTACTGCACAGTTAATGCTGAAAAAGTAAGGAAAGTTCTAAGTGCAGACCTAAGAGGCACAATATAGTAAGATGTTTTAGGATAGTTAACTTGGAGATATAGAAGAGTTTTTTGCTTGTATCTTGTGCAAAGTACAGTGTACTATATATACACACCTATTATCTATTTCCTCATTTTAAAATTACTTATTTTTATTTATTTTGTTTATTTTTTTAAATGACAGTTGACATTAAATATCATTATTAGTTTCGGGTGTACCTTAGTGATTAAGACTTTATATAACTTACAAAGTAATTACCCCGATAAGACTAGTACTTATCTGACACCATACATAATTATTACAATACTAGGGGACCAGTTCATGAATTCGTGCACCTTGAAAGGAACTGTGGGCGGCGAGGCTGCAGTGGGCACAGGGGCGGGTCTCGGCCCATCCTCCACTCCTCTGTCAGGCCCCTCCTGAGTGATTGGGCCAGTGCCTGGTGCTGGCAGCTGGTGCGAATGGGTGTGAACGGTGGCCCTGGTGCTGGCAGCGGGTGTGAGCAGGGCCAGCGTCAGCAGCAGGTGCAAGTGCCGGGCAGGACTGCAGCGTGCGGGACCAAAGAATTTTCAATAACCATCAGAGGCTTGCCCTAATGACAGCGACTGGTGCCCCACCTTGGCCTGGCACCCCCGCTCACCTGCTCCACCATCCTGCTGTGGCCAACACCCACCATGTTCTGCACCCTGCTGCTGATGCCTGCCATGTTCTGCGTGCGCCCCTGGTGGTCAGCACACATCATAGCGATCGGTTCAGTTGTTCTGCCATTCGGTCTATTTGCATATTAGGGTTTTATATATATATAGATCATTGACTATATTCCCATGCTATACTTTACACTCCCATGACTTCTTATAACCTGCAATTTGTATATCTTGATCCTTTCACCTTTTTCACTCAGCCACCCAACCCCCTTCCATTTGGCAACCATCAGTTTGTTTTCTGTATCTATGAGTGTGTTTCTGTTTTGTTTGTTCATTTATTTTGTTGTGTTATTTTTAGATCATACATATAAGTGAAATAATATGGTATTTGTTTTTCTCTGTCTGACTTATTTCACTTAGCATAATACCCTCCAGGTTTATGCATGTTGTTGCAAATGGCAAAATTTCAGTCTTTACTATGACTGAGTAGTGTTCCATTGTATATATGCACCACATATTCTTTATCCATTCATCTATCAATGGACACTTAGGTTGTGTCCATATCTTGACTATTATAAATAACGCTGCAATGAACATAGGGGTGCATATATCTTTTCAAATTAGTGTTTTGGATTTCTTTGGATAAATACCCAAAGAAATGCTGGGTCATATGATAGTTCTATTTTAAAATTTTGTAGGAACCTCCATACTGGTTTATATAGTGGCTGCACCAATTTACAATCCCGCCAACAGTGTACAAGTATTCCCTTTTCTCCACTTCATTGACAGAACTTGTTTGTTGATTCATTGATGACAGCTATTCTGAGAGATGTGAGGAATATCTCATTATGGTTTTAATTTGTATTTCCCTGATTAGTGATGTTGAGGGTTTTTTCATGTCTTTTGGTCATCCGTATGTCTCCTTTGAAGAAATATCTCCAGGTCTGCTGCCCACTTTTTTAATGGGATTGTTGGTTTTTTGGTGTTAAGTTGTATGAGTTCCTTATACATTTTTAATATTAACCAGTTATCAGATGTATCATTCGTGATTATCTTCTTCCATTTTGTAGGTTGTCATTTCATTTTGTTGATTGTTTCCTTTCCTGTACAAAAACTTCTTAATTTAATGTTCTCTCATTTGTTTATTTTTGTTTTTCTTTCCCATGTCTAAAAAGACATATCCCTCCACCCCACCCCACCCCCCCAAAAATTGATAAGAACTATGTCAAAGAGTTTATTACCTATATTTTCTTCTAGGATTATATGGTTTGGGGTATTACATTTGTCTTTAATCAATTTTAAATTTATTTTTGTATATGATATAAGAAAGTGACCTAGTTTCATTTTTTTGCATGTATCTGTTCATTTTTCCCAACACCATTTATTGAAGAGACTCTCTTTGCCCCATTGTATACTCTTTGTCATAGATTAATTGACCATATAGGCCTTGGTTTATTTCTGGGCTCTCTATTTACTCCATTGCTCTATAGATCTGTTTTAATGCCAGTACCATGCTGTTTTGATTACTATAGTCCTATAGTATTGTGGGAAACCACCTATTGTCTTCACTAGCAGAGAGATGTGGACAAGGAGCCCAGAATGCTGGTGACCCTTGAGCCCTGGCAAAGGTCAGAGCTATGCACCAAGCAACTTCCCCACCCAATAGTCATGTAAATCCTTACTGGTAAGATAGTCTGCCTGTTACTGGAAATGGCCTGCCTAAGGGCTATAGGTGTATCCCAAACTGAATAAAAGGATGACAAGGCCTGAGCCCAAGCGGAGTCCTCCTAGGCTCCCACCTGGCCCCCTAGTTTCCAAATTATTATTTCTTATCTCTTCTCTGTCATTTGCAGGTGGCCCCTCTTCCAGAGCCCGAACCCTGAACCATGTGGGTTGTGAGTCACTCACATCTGGCACCTCGATGAGGGAAATCTGGAAAAGACTTTGCCTAGAGCAAAAGACGAAGATTTCACTGGATAGGTGGGGGAAAAATTTCACTGGACAGGTTGGGAATTTCACCACATGCAAAGCCCATGGTCAGCTGCAGAAATCTCGATCTGTAAGTAGAGAGGGAATGTCTTTTTTTTTTTTTTTTTTTTTTTTTTTTGCCAGGCTAATGGGGCAGAATTCGGTTAAAAAGTAAGAAACTTTATTGTAGACTTTTGGTTTGCATGCTTTAAGGAATTAAAGTTTCAGAAGGTATTCTCTTACAGTTTTTGCTTGATGTTATAGAACATAACCCTTGGTTTCCTGAAGAAGGTACATTAGATCTTAAATATTTGGCAAAGAGTGGGTCAAAGTTTGAAAAAAGCTCCGCAGGAGGGGAAAAAACTTGCCTCCAAACTGTTTCTCCTTGTGGAACATGGTATTTCATTTGCTAGAAGTATAGTTTTATATCAAGTAGCAAGACACCTCCAATTGTGTTCTTTTTCAGGATTCCTTTGGATATTTTGGGTCTTCTGTAGTTCCATATAAAATGTAGGATTATTTGTTCTAGTTTTGTGAAAAATACCTGGTATTTTAGATAGGGATTGCTTGAATCTGTAGATTATTTTGGGCAATAATGATATCTTAATTCTTCCTATCCATGAACCTTCCATCTCTTTGTAGCTTCTTCAGTTTCTTTCTTCAGTATCTTATACTTTTCCCAGTATAGGTCTTTTAACTCCTTGGTTAAATTTATTCCCAGGTATTGTATTCTTTTTGATGTAATTATAAATTGGGTTGTTTTCTTAGTTTCCCTTTCTGATAGTTCATTACTGGTGTGTAAAAATGCAACTGATTTCTGGATATTTATTTTGTATCCTACTACTTTACTGAATGCATTTATCAGTTCTAGTAGTTATTTGGTAGAATCTTTAGGGTTCTCTATATTCAGTATCATGTCATCTGCAAATAATGACAGTTTTATTTTTTCTTTTCAAGTTGGATGCCTTTCATTTCTTTTCTTGTTGGATTGCTGTGGCTAAGACTTCCAAACCTATGTTGAATAAAAGTGATAAAATTGAACATCTATGTCAGTGATGGCGAACCTATGACACGCGTGTCAGAGGTGACACGTGAACTCATTTTTTTGGTTGATTTTTCTTTGTTAAATGGCATTTAAATATATAAAATAAATATCAAAAATATAAGTCTTTGTTTTACTATGGTTGCAAATATCAAAAAATTTCTATATGTGACACAGCACCAGAGTTAAGTTAGGGTTTTTCAAAATGCTGACACGCCGAGCTCAAAAGGTTCGCCATCACTGATATGTCTTATTCCTGTTCTTAAAGAAAAAGCTTTCAGCTTTTCACTAAATTGATCTTAGAGTGGGGTTTGTCATATATAGCCTTCATTATCATGAGATATGTTCCCTCTATTCCACTTTGCTGAGAGGTGTGTTTTTAAAAACTATTTTGTCAAATATTTTTTCTGCATCTATTGATATGATATGATTTTTAAACCTTCGTTTTCTTTATGTGGTATATCATGTTAATTGATTTGCAGATATTGTATCAATCTGAAATGCTTGGAATAAATCCCACTTGATCATAGTGTCTGAACTTTAAAATATATTGATGAACTTGGCTTGCTAATATTTTATTGAGAATATTTGCATATATGTTCATCGGCAATATTGGTACATAATTTTCTTTTTTGGTAACTCTTTGTTTGGTTTGGTATCAGGGTTATGCTGGCCTTATATAATGCACTTGGGAGTTTTCTCTGCTCTTTTTTTACTAGCTTGAGAAACATAGTTATTATTTTTTCAAAGTCTGGCAAAATACACCTGTGAAGCCATGTGATACAGGCTTTTGTTTGTTGAGAAAATTTTGATTACTGATTTGACTTTGTTAGTACTTATTGGTCTGTTTGGATTATCAGTTTCTTCCTGATTCAGCCTTGGAAGATTGTATTTTTCTAAAAATGTATCCATTTTTTCAAGGTTTTCCAATTCTAAGCATATATTTGCTTTTTATTATTTCCTTATAATTCTTTGTATTTCTGTGGTGTCAGTTGTCACTTCTTTTTTTTATTTTTTATTTTTATTTATTTGACCCTCTCTTTTTTTCCTTGATGAACCTAGCTAAAGTTTTATCAATTTTGTTTATCTTTTGAAAGAACCAGCTCTTGGTTTCATAAATATTTCCTGTTTCTTTAAATTCTATTTAATTTATTTCCACTCTGATCTTTATTCTTTTCTTTCTTCTCACTTTGGGCAATGTTGTTCTTCTTGTTCAGGTTCCTTTAAGTGTAAAGTTAGATTGAGATTTTTCTTGTTATTTGAGGTAGGCATGTATTGCTATAAATTTCCCTCTTAGAACTGCTTTGGCTGTATCACATAGATGTTTAGTCTTTGTGTATTCATTTGTCTCAAGGTATCTTTTGATTTCTTCCTTTATCTCATTGTTAATTCACTTATTGTTTAGTAGCATGTTATTTAGCCTCTACATGTTTGTATGATTTTTCAGTTTTCTCCTTGCAATTGATTTCTAGTTTCATACTATTTTGATCAGAGAAGATGCCTGATATGATTTTAATCTTAAATATTGAGATTCATATTGTGGCCTAACATGGTCTATCCTGGAAAATGTTTTATGTGCATTAGAAAAGAATGTTGCTTTGGGGTGAAATGTCCTAAATATGTCAATTAAAAGTCCATATGGTCTGTGTCATTTAAGGCCATTGTTCCTTGTTGACTTTCTGTCTGGATGATCTACCCATTGGTGTCAATGGGTTGTTCAAGTACCCTACTATGAATAATAATGTCAGTCTTTCCCTTTATGTCCATCAATATTTGCTTTATATATTTAGATGATCCTACATTGGGTGCGTAGATGTTTATAAGAGTTATATCCTCTTGTTGGATTGATCCCTTTATCATATGAAATGCCATTTTTTAACTGTTTAAACAGCCGTGTTTTAAAGTCTATTTTGTCTGATATAAGTATTTCTACCCCACTTTTTTTTTTTTCATTTACCTTTGCATGAAATATCTATTTCCATCCCTTTATTTTTAGTCTTGATGTGTCTTGCGATCTGAAATGGGTCTCTAGTAGGCAGTATAAGTATGTCTTGTTTTTTAATCATTCATCTGCCTAGTGCCTTTTTATTGAAGCATTTAATCCATTTACATTTAATTTGTGATAGGTATGTATTTTTGCCATTTGTTCATTGTTTTTATAGTTCTCTGTTCCTTTCTTACTCTTTTGCCCATATCTCTTATATGTTGGTGACTTTCTGTAGTTGTTTGGATTTCTTCTCTTTATTTCTTGTATATTTTAGTTTGTGGTTACCATGTGCTTCATATATACTATATACCAAGCTATGTTTATATCAGTCTATTTTAAGTTGATGGTTGCTTAAGTTTCAACACATTCTAACATCACTACATATTTTACTCACTTCCTCTACATTTGTGATTATTTTACTTTTCTGTGTGTCCCTTAATTTGTTGTTCTAATTACACATGATCTTCCCACTTTGCCTCTTAACCTTTGTACTAATTTTGTAGTTGGTTAACCTACTGCTTACTGTTTTTTTCTTTCCTATATTTGCTTTCCTATCTTTTCTTATTCATATTTTTATCTTTTCTAGTTAACATTCCTTTAACATTTCTTGTAACACTAGCTTAGTTGTAATGAACTCCTTTATCTTTTCCTTGTCTGGGAAACTATCCTTTTATTCTGAATGATAGACTTGCTGGGTAGAGTAATGTTGATTGTAAGTCTTTGCTTTTCATCACTTTGAATATTTAATGCCACTTCCTTCTGACTGCAAAATTTCTGTTGAAAAATCTGCTGATGGTCTTATGGAAGCTCCCTTACATATAACTAACTGTTTTCTCTTGCTATATTTAATATTCTCTTTTTATCCTTAACCTTTGACATTTTAATTACAGTGTGTCTTAGTATGGACCTCTTTGGGTTTTTGTTTGGGACTTGACTTCCTGGACTTATATGTCTATTTCTTTCACCAGGTTAGAGAAGTTTTCAGTCATCATTTTTTCATATATGTTTTCAATCCCTTGTTATCTTTTTTCTTCTTCTGGTACCACTGTGATATGAATGTTGTTATGCTTGATGTTGTCATAGAGACCCTTAAACTATCCTCATTTTTTTCAATTATTTTTTCTTTTTGCTGTTCAATTGAGTGTTTTCCTCTACACCCAATTGTCTTCCAGATCGCTGATTCAAGCCTCTGCTTCTCTAATCTGCTGTTGATTCCCTCTAATGTAGTCTTCATTTCAGTTCTTGTGTTCATCAGTTCTGACTGGTTCTTTTACAGTTTCTTCTTGTTGAGGTCCTCACTGAGTTCATCTGTTTTTTTCCTAAGTTCATTATAAGCATCCATATAACCAGTGTTTTTAACTCTGTATCTGGTAGATTACTGTCTCCATTTCCTTTCTTTTACTTGAATTTTGTCCTATTCTTTTATTTGGGATGTTTCTTTGTCTCCTCATTTTAGCTACCACCCTGCGTTTGTTTCTATGTATTAGGTAGGTATGCTATATCTCCCTGTCTTGGCAGAGTGACCTTAACACATTGCAGACCAGTAGTTTTATTGCTAGCTTTACCCAGTGGCCAGATAAGTTTCTATCGAATAAGTACAAAAAACATTTTACATAAATGTTAAAGGCATGCTTTAAAATTAAATACCCATTGCATTTTGAAGTTGTTTATTACAGTTCTTACAAGCTAGTATCTTTTTAAAGTATGATACTTTGTAAAACACTGTGTAATGTGAAGCGAGAATTCTCGTGATCCGTCTGCAATGTAAGTAGTAGGTATCCTGTGAGCTCAGTGATAGAGTCTCCTTGTTACTTGAACCAGGTGCTCCAGTATCTCTCAGGTGGGTTGTGTCCTCCTGCTCTGGTTGAGCTTGTCTGCTGCTGGCACATCATTGACCCTCAGGCTGACTGGCTGTGACTATAGCAGACAAGCTGTTGTGTGGGGGCTTCCCCACAGAGCAGGACTCAGTTTAGTGGGGCTATGGTCCCAGTGGAGTCTGCCCTTCAAACACATCCTTTGTGGAGATGGGTAGTGCTCTGCTGTGACCTAAAGCCATCCACTG